AGCATAGTTATATATGCATTTTTAAATACATTTCTATTTGAAATCTCTTTTGCAAAGAATGGTCTTTTTAAAAAATGTACTAGGAATTTTAAAAATTGATATCAGTTATATATCATGGATGTTTTGAGGCTGAAAGATGTCTTGGATACAATTTTAGCCTAATCCCTTCTGAATCACTTCATATTCTTCAGTCACAGGCCGCAGAAACTGATTCTGACTAAATAAACTGGAAATGGTTTTATTCGAAGGATATTAGGTAGCTAGCTGAACGTAGGGGAGATCCTGGCTCAGAAGGAACAGAACAGACACAGGATATGGGATACGTGAATGGATCTAGGTAGCAAGAGCCATTTGCAGCTCTTGTCGGTATGTCGCTGCGGGGTTGACAGAGCTCCAACAACCTTCTGCACCTTTGTATTTTTTGCCTCAAGATTCAGAATCCTGGGAGAGACACCAGTGGCTTCATTTGAGTCACTGATCCACCCCTTGGCTAGGGAGTCTTTAAAATCAAGTCCCACCAAGATGACACACAATGTGCTATTTCCAAAAGGACTTGCTTATATGGCCGTCTGTGGAAGTGAAACTAGATGCTGGGTGGACCTGCTCCAACCAAAGCACCCTCATCTCCCAGGTGAGGGAAATGAAGCTCAGAGAGTGATTTTCTGCATCTCTGTCCCAGCTAGGATTAGAACTGAGATGACTCCCTGACATGTGTCTATTTTTATTGTTTAAATCAATGTTCTGATTTATTGATTTATTTATTGCCCCAGAATGCTTCCTTCATTCACAGGAAAACATGCTGGCAGCCAGGGCATAGACATACAAAGGTGACAGGGTGTTTTTTTTTTTTAATTTAAGTATAGTTGATTTACAGTGTTGTGTTAGTTTCAGGTATACAGCAAAGTGATTCAGTTATACATTTATATATATATTCTTTTTCAGATTCTTTTCCATTATAGGCATCACCAGATATTGAATATAGTTCCTCATGCTACATAGTAGGTTCCTGTTGCTTATCTATTTTATACACAGCAGTGTGTATCTGTTAATCTAAAATTTCTAATTTATCCTTCCCCCACCTTCCCCCTTTTGGTAACCATAAGCTTGTTCTCTATGTGGCAGTGATTGTTTGAAGCAAGGTTGCGTTTCTAATCCCTTGTCCTCTCAAACCTCCTTACCACCCCTTGAACTGCCCTTTTGAGTATCACTTGGACATCCCTTCAGGCTCCTCAAAGTCAAGTTATCTGAACCCAAACGCATTCTCGCTCCCCAAACCTGTTCATCCTTTTATGTTACCCTCTTTAGTAAATTACCAACTACCCACTCCATAAACCTGGTTGTCATCGTAGCTCTTCCCTTTCCATCACCCTCCCAACATCGAATTAGTCACCAAGTAATCGACATTTTATCTCCTAAATATGTACAAAATCCCACTGCTTCTACTTATCCCCACTGCCTTTACTTCAGCCCTGTGGCCTCGCCTTTTCGTGACCATAAGTCTGCCCTTCTCCCTGCTCCCAGTTCTGCCCTCCTCTCAGCCATTCTCTTGGATCTGGTGTGAATTTCAGAATCACAAGCTCAAGGATGCTAAATTGAAAGTCTTTATTTTTTTATAACTTAATTTTAATTCCTGGCCCTGAGCCTTGATCCTCCCCAGTGTAAAAATCCAATCTTGTCCCTCACAGGTAAAGTCAATCCAATTCGGTAATTTTTCAGGTTATTCTGGATTCTAACACTCCTTCCCCTCACCCTGTTTTCCTGCATAGAAACAGCACAGCACTGGTGCTGGGTAGAGGGAAATAGAGTTACTAGGTTAACAAATGAAAATACAAGGCATACACTTCAATTTGAGTTTCAAAACATAAGAAACTTTTTTTTTGGTATAAGTATTCCCATGCAATATTTGGGGTATACTAATACTAAAAAAATCATTCGTAGTTTATCTGATACTCAGATTTATCTGGCAACCCCAGGAGTGGGAGTTTGTCAGCATTTACTCCCAGGTCTTGATCTAGGATCTTGTGATAGACACCGAACTTGCTTCTCTAGCATCCATTTCTCTCTTCTTTGCTACCATAACTCCAGTTTCATTTGGGGCAGCAGTGTGCCCAAGATCAGGCAGTGTGCCCTGCAGCCAGGGGTGGCCCCATGACACAGTTCTCACCAACAGGATCAAAGTGGAAAACCCAATAGTAGTTGCAGGAATGCTTTTGTTTTCCCCAGTGATAGAGTAAGACACAGCTGATACCACCTGACTCTGCCCTTTCTTCTTGCCTTGAAGGTGGACAAGATGTCTGGAGCTGGGACAGCCCTCTAGTGACCAGTGAGGGGAAGGATAAAATAATCCCAGAGGCATGGGCCTTGAACTTGCCAGGCCACTGAATCAAGGCCAGCAGCTGCCTGCCTTGAGGTGTCTTGTGCTGTGGGAAATCGAAAACTCTAGTTTTGAAGGCATTGTGAGCCAGGTTTGCTTACTTGTAGTTGAATGCGTTTCTGACCACGGGGTTCTATACAGGTGTCTGTCCCTGATGCCCTTGATTCATCCCTTTTGGTCAGCTCTGGAAGTATGCTGACCTGACTCTCTGTAGCTCCCCAGTGCCTCTTATTCGCAGTTACAGCTGGGTCCCCCTTCAGTCTCCAGTGGGCAGTGCGTCCAAAAGACTTTTAGCACACATCCCCTTGCTGCAGCCAGTGACACTGTGGCACATGTACCAGCCCTCTCTTGCCGTTCACTTCTATCTCACACACACACACAGAGCCCACTAGACAATTATGGCGCTCAGCCAGTACTATCCATGGTCTGTGGGAAATTACAGGGTGGGGGATGCTGGTTCACATCCTCTTCAGCTGAGAAAACCTCTGCAGTAACTTCTGCTGCCTTTCCATACCCTTGTAGGGGGGCATTTGGGAGGGAAGGGGAGAGAGGACCTGGCTCTTCTCAGTGTCTCACCGCTCCCTTCTCCCACCCTCCTCCTCTGTCTCAGCTAGAGGGCAGAAACAAACAAAAATCTGCGATTGCTTCTCCCTTCTCCGTTTTAAATATTTTTGGTCTTCATTTTGACAAAATGGTGGCTTTTGACTTTTTGGCCTGGGAATGTGCTTTCTTTTCTCTCTTTATGGACTAGTCCTGTAGTAATAGGTGTCCTGCATCGGCTGCCAGGGAGGGGAGCATTGCAGTTCAGCTGGGATGGTTCTGAAAATACAATCTCATTGAGTCATTTTCTTGACTTAGACCCTTCTGTGGCTCCCTTCACTCCTAGCTTGGAGTCCAAACTTCCTGCCATGGCTTTGAGGTCTCCATGATCTGGGTCTTGCCTTCTTTTTTTTTTTTAACTTCCCTCTCCCAACTCCCTTCCTTATTACTGCATTTTGTTCTAGACCAAAGCTGATCCACTGTGTAAAACTTCTTAACTTCTTGGTGGATGGGGCTTGGCCATTTTTGTTTTGTTTGTTTGTTTTTTAAACTCCGTAGGTAAGTTGATTGCAGAGCCAGGAGTTGAGAGCCAGTAGTTCAGAATGTCACATTTCTTAGAGCATTTTCATACATGTAATTTTAGTTGGTTCTTAGAAGAACCCTGTGATGTATGTAGGGCATAGACTCATATGTACGTTTCACAGATGAGAAGGAATGAGATGAGAAGAAATGAGGTTAGGAAGAGCTGGCCTCAACCTTGGGTGTTCTGAATCTAGGCTTTTCAGTCCATACTGAAATGCTCATTGCTAGTAGTATCAGATCATGTCAGTTCTAAATATTTAATTGTCTCCTATTAAAAGAATAACATAAAATAATTAGTATAAAGCATTTGTGTCATTTGGCCTCTGATTATTTGCTTAGTAGAATAATAGCCACCACACAGCTGTTATTCCATAACCCTGCTTATCTCCTATACAGCAATTTTCATCAGCTGAAATTATTTATGATTTGTTTACTTATTTGTTGATTGTGCTCTCCCACTAGAATACACACTTCACAAGGGCACTGAATCTATTTGGTCCAGAACAGTGCCTGTCGCTCAGTAGGAAACTCAATAGCTATTTGTTGAATAAATAAATGGACTATTCATTCGTCACTTTATCTCCTTGCATATGATTTATTATTAAGTTAGAAGTGAGATACTACATTAACAAATCATTAACTTAATCCAAACTGAAAATAATTTTTAAAAATATATTTGGCAAGAGATTTCAATAATTATTTTCTGCATAAATGAGTGGATGAATGAATGAACCTCTGTAACCTACAGTGAAACCACTTAGTAGAGTACTGTTTTGATGCTAAATGACATGTTTAATTTTTGCTTGGCTTGCTCTTTTGTTTTGTTTTGGTGGGAGGCTAATGTATTAAGTATTTTTGGATATTGTCAGTTGCTGTGGTCTGAATGTTGTGTCCCTTAAAATTCATAGGCTGACATCCTGATCCCCAAAGATGTAGGTAAATGGGGCTTTAGAAAGTGGTTAGGTCATGAGGGTGGGGCGCTTATAAATGGGATTAGTGCTCTTGTAGAAGAGGCTCCTGAGAGCCTCCTGGCACCTTATGGTATGTGAGGGCACAACTAGAAAGTGCTGGCTCTGAACCAGGAAGGTCACCAGAAGGCAGCCTTCCTGGAACCTTGATCTTGGACTGCCAGGCCACAGAACTGTGAGCAATAAATTTCAGTTGTTTATAAGCTGTTCCGTCCAGGGGTATTTTGTTCTATCAGCCCAGACTAAGACATCAGTCAACTAGCTTATTTGTCCTTATCAAAGGGAGCTCAGCTCTGGAACTGATATATTTATAATGTAATTTCACTAAAATTACTGTATTTAGATAGCTCCTGGCATCTTTCATTAAACTGAAGTTCAATTATAAGTGTTTGAGGCAAAGATGGTGTTCAGTGCTTTCACTGAGGGAAAAAAAGAAAAACAGCATGATTCAACCTTTAATTATTATAGGATCAAAACAGCTGCACAGATTTCAAGGATTAAAATAAGGCTTTGAGTGTTCTGATTCTTATTCCCAGTTACCGGAACTCGTACAAGAAGAACATCTGTGTGGACATGCTGCGAGATGGTTATCACAAGTCCTTTACGGAGCTCTTCTCTCTGATGGAGAAGTGGGATGCCCTGAGGGAGGCTGCGAAAGTCAGGTCCCTCCTGTGGGTGCAGAGACCCCTGGAAGAGCAGCCTGACAAGCTGGATCACTTCTACTACTACCTGACCAGGGCCGAAGCAGCTGAAAGGAAAGGTAAGTGGAGGAGGGATCTGGGGAAGCAGGGCTGCAGAAGCCAGAACAGTGAGCGCCCCAGGGAAGGTTCCAAATTGTTTCCTGTATGAATTTAAAACGTGAAGACACCTTAGCACAATTCAGCCTCATCAACTAAGCATCTTAATGGAATAAACGATAGGAACACTGAATCACAGGGCTGCCCAGACACAGGGCCATCCTGGTGATGTCACTCTAAGCTAGGAAAGATGATGAAAGCTCTCCAGAGCTTTCCTTTGTATTAAAATCTTTGGTCTCATTCACTATAAACCTTACCATAGTTTTTTCTTTATATATAATCTAAATACTGACTTCCACTGAGGAGATACTTTCAAAGAGTACTATCACTTGAAAATTACACTTATTTGCTAGTGTTTATATAATGTAAATGGAAGGTTTAATCAATAAGTTCTACAGATTCAGATTTCAGGGAATTTTTATTAGTGAATAGTGAGGAGACATGAAAAGCCTGCAATTCACAATTGTGAATAAAACTGTTAGCTTTATATTTTCTATCACATCACTAATAAATTTCTTTTATTCTTTTGGTATCCTAAAATTTTCCAGAAAGTCAATATGTTTCAAGTATTGAAGAAAATATTTTAATCTCTACTATAATTATAGTGATATTGTTGTCATAAGTATTTCTTAGCTTAACCTATTCGGAATTCGTCATTTTATGTAATAAGGGAAATCCCTAAATTTGGCATATAAATTTGGTGTTCTCAGTTACTCTTTTCTTCAACTTTCTGTGTGAAAATACCACAGAATTCAAAAGAGAAGCTCAAGCCCCAACATGACAATGTCTTTATTTCATTTCAGGCCTTTCTATGGGAAAATAGAGTATTAGACAATTTTTTTTTGCTACCCAGTGCTACAATGGGGAAAACTGATGGAGACGTAGAACCAGCATGAGAGGGGTAGCAGAAGTCTTTTAGTCTCTATAGTGGAGTCAGTACATTATTTCTGAGCAGGTTGTGAGCTGACTTAAAAATACGAGACATAACAAAAATCCTAACACTACCACGAGTGAGCTAGAGTATGTGGGTGTGTGTGTAAACAAGAGGTAATTATTTGATTATTTGTATAATGGAAAGTAACTTCAGGATTGACTTTAAAAATAGAGTCCTTTGGTCATTTTTAAAATGTGATTTAGATATAATGTCTCCAGAAATTAACTGTTACAAATTTTAAAATGCTATTGTAAAAAACTGACATTCAGTATCAGCCTCAAATTCTGAAGTGATATTTACACTGAAAATAGAATTGATCAAGATAAAATTTGCCCACTAGTCATTTTTTTCAAGTTGCTTTAATAAAGATTTACTAAATGTTTTAGAGGTATTCATTTTAGTAGCATAAATAGGAGCCAAACACATCACTAGTCACAATATGAGAAAATTGTCATAAACTAAAATGCTAAATAATCTATTTGAAGATAGAAAACTTTTAATTTATCATTTTATTAAAGAAAAGTAAATATATGTATAAATTAAAATGTTTCCCCAATTGCAAAAATTGTAAAAGTCAGAACTTTATAACAGACAGTATCTTATACACATGATACAAGTAATGAAACATTTTCTTTACTGAGTGGTTTCTCATATATTCATGATAAGTAAAGTTGCATTTATTAAATGGAACAAAATTACTTCCTGCTCAGAACAACTCTTCTGTAGATTTATTGCCTTCAAAATGCAGTGGCTTTTGCCTGGTTAAAATATGGAGAATTAAAATTATTGGAGAGAAAATTACTGGAAATACTTTGGTTGAAGGACATGTAAACATTTGTATGCTTATTTTTTAAATATATATAATTTTTCACATTTAACACATGAACTTTACTGGAGAAAAATTGTGAACTGAGTTAAGAATGGTATAGGGGATATGCACATTCACTCTTATTAACTTGAATTTATCCTAAATCTCAACACCCCCCCAACACACACTTTTAATCTGGAATATAAAAATCTGTTAATGGTACCTCAAAGATTCCATCCCATATGGTTGTGGGATCTGAGACAATTATCCTGGAGCAGCATATCTCTGAGCATTCTCATTGCTTCTCATTGGAAAGACCATCACTCTAGGGTCACAATGAAGTTCATTTAATCAAAGCTATGGCACTAACAATGGTCATCTCGGGTCAGTTCTGTCTCTTGAGACTCGCAGAGCAGGAACCTAAAGTTATTTAAATTACTTTTCAAAATATCACTTTCTGTCTTATAGCAAAGAAGTGCTTAAAGTAAGCCAGTCATTTCTTTTTGGATTATTTTGAGTTTGTTAAAGTGTTCCTTTGTCCCTGATAACACTTCTTATATTTCCCATTGTTGTGAATCATCTCTGTACCATCTGTAACATTATGATTAGGGCCTTATGCCCCATGGGGCAGGGGAAGAGATGGCAATAATGGTAATGGGTAACCGAATCAATAGATAATTCAAACATTATTTACACTTGACTTTAAATTGTTGTCAAGGGTTAAGCAGCAGATTTTTTTCTAATAACATTTATTTAAGCTACCCAAAGTATGTTCTACTCAAGCATAGTCCTACAGGATGTTTTATACATTTTATGTAAAGGAAAACAAAAATAATTGTCTGGTGAAATAAGTTTGAGAAACAACCAGCTGAATTAACATTGACATTAAGCAGGTTGGTTTATTGCAGGACTTATCAGAGCCTTTAATATACTAATATGTATTGTGTGGTTCACTGAAAGAGGGAAATTAGTAGGAGCATTTTCCAAATTTATTTCATAATGAGATCTCCTTTTTTAGGTAGCATAATGAATACTGGTCTAAATAATAAATCAACAATAAAATTTATTTTCATCTTATAAACATACCTGCTGACAATTCAAGGAAGTGAAATGTTCCACAAACAAGGAGAAAAGGCTGCTTAGAATAGAAAGGATACAAGCCATATATTTGGATTATCCAGAGATTCAAAACTTGAGTATATTCCTTTATACTTAATACTCTGAAAAAACACTCAATTCTTCCATAGAAAAATAGCTTAGCTGACAAGTAGTCTTTAAATATATAATCTAAATAGTTTATGTAATTCATTCTAAATAAAACCACAAACTTGGCTTATGAAATTTTGGAAATGTTTTTCTCTTATGGTTTAATTACTGAAAAGCAGAAAAATTATTTCAGGATTGTATAGATATATTTTTTAAAATCTTTATATAACTTTTTAAAATGGAAAATACAAAATGTTTTATTTACAGGTTTTAAAATATCACTACTCTAGTCACTAAATATGAGAAAGAATAAATATAAAATGTTACAAAACGATGTTAGTGCTCTATTCATATTAGGCAGAAGGTTCAGAATGGCGAGAGAAAGCATAGGAGAAGTCAGTTCTGAAATGAGAGTATTTGTTTCAAGTAAATAAGTCAGGGTACCCTCCACTTTTCACCGAAGCTGTTGCCTATTGTGAATAACCTTAAAAGCAGAATGGCTCTCCAGAATCCCCAGCTTCTTCAAAACTGGGAGATAGGGAGAGTTTTTTTAACTTTAATTTTTAGATGTTAAACTTATTTTGAGGTAAATCTTAATTTCCCATGGAATTATGAAGCAGTGTATGTAAAGAAATGATACAGGTTTTAGGAATTTCTTTTGAAACACTGGAGTGACTTATATACAGTTCTTTAAAGTTAACTTTTGTCATACTCAGCGTGACTTCATTTTTTCTGATTCTTTGTATTTTAATCTTCTAGAAGTACTAGTGGGCAATATATAAATGCTTTTCATAATTGTAATTCTTTCAGGAATATATAGGTTGACTCTTCTGATAGTAGTGAAAAATTAAAATCAGTGAATTCTAACAGATAATGATTGTTACAAACAAACAAACAAAAATCTTTGGAAGGGTAATCCAGAGGCTACTACACATTTACAACTGTGCTTTCAGCACAAATGCAAAAAAAAAAAGATTATGAATTTGTTCATATTCACCAATAGAGTGAAGTTTATAAGAGTGAGGCATAGTTTAACACACATACATTTTTGTTTATGACTGATTGCAGTGAACGTTATAAGACTGATTCACAATATATTGACACACTTTTTTTGTGTACAAATAGGTTTCATGCCACTTTAGAAATAAAAAGAGGGGTTAAATAAGCCAGCAACTGTCTGAGTGAGAGGGATTACTAGTGTTGATGTATTTTCAGCAGAAAAGATAAGCATAGAAATCCACTTTTTCTTAACACTGCTAGTAACTTGTATTGCCAGAAAGAGCACTAGAAAGTGTATGAGCTTATCAGATCATCCTGATTATCCTTTCTGGTATCTATAAGCTGCATGCATGCTTTGTTTCCCTCCTATTTTCAGATTCTGTCTGCTTCCTTCATTTATCTTTTTGCCATGGTTAATAAACATTACTTTCTCTGGAATCTCTAAATACTTTCATATCTTCAATGGAAAAAAGTACTTGATGATACCACATACTCATTTCTTCCAAAAGAACTGAGCACATTGCTGATACGGTTTTGCTTTTTGTCTTACAAAAGACTAATGTTTCAACCAAAGAGTACATCAATTTCTAACACAGTCTGATTTTTCAGAAAGATTTTTGTTGCTTTTCTCATGTGCACATCCTTTAATTAATATAAATATTTTTAATAGTGAAAACTCATGAATTTAATTTTTGCATTTCCATTTTAAAAAGTTAATCATACTTTTAAGGGAAAATGGAAAATAAATGTGACAGTATTGGTTTGCCCTTAGAGGGGATGTGCCATCAGACATTTTTCTAATGCATTTTATGACGTTTTTCTCTCTTTGAAGAATACTTTGAAGACGTCTATAATAACTTGTATGCTCTGGCCTGTTACTTCAATAATTCTGAAGACAAGTGGGTAAGAAACCACTTCTATGAACGGTGCTTTAAGATTGCTCAACTCATCAAAATTGACGGCGGAAAGAAGGAAGCCGAGGCGCATGCACACATGGGACTTCTCTTCGAGGAAGAGGGTGAGTAGCTCTTTAGCCCGCTGCCCTAGGTGCTTTAAAGGATCCCGAGTCCAGGCAACCAGGAAGCACGTGGGGATCGAGAGAAAGACCTGAGGCTTAGTATGAGAATGTAAGTTACTGAGATCAAAAAGCAAAGGGGTGTGGTTTTGGACTCACCTTGGGTATTTTTGCAGTCATACTTCTGCCAAGCACTCAGCCTAGAGTTCCCAGCCGTGTCATCACTGAGAGAAAGCATCTTCCTCCAGCCCTCGACATGTCCTTCATCCACATAGGTGCTGCATCCTTTTGAATTGTTTTTCCTTTCTTAGAAACCTCTTTGTCCATTTTAACTTGATTTCTCATGTCCGAAAATGGGAACAAGGAAAGGCAGACTTCTTGATTTTGCTAGCGTTCCAAGTCCTATGATATGATATCTATAATCTATATAACTCAATACCACCCTATTCTGATTTTATGATAATTTCTGAAGGAAATGTTCCTTTAAAAATAATGTCATACTTAATTATGTTATCTTAAGACAAGCCAAAGTGTGAAACAACAGAAATTTCATCAGCAACGTGTTTTATAAGGTGGTTTAAAAAAGTTGGAATTTTAAGAATTAAAATTATTTATGGAAGGATAGTGGGTAGAGAGTATGCAAGTAAAATATATGGGAAGATGAAAATATTTGATTATGAATAATTCTGTTTCTTCCCTTGAAACACTGTCTCATTTTCCACAAGAGTTTTGATTTTGGCAAGAGAGTTAAATTAGAGAATGTTTATTATTTTGTGGCTAGAACTGCATAGGACTTTGAGAAAGAGGAGGAAAAGGTTTCTGTACTTCAGGATATTGCACATTGTAATCTACAGCGTGGTAGGAGCCGGAACTTGGTCGGTAGTCGGGGGCTGTCTTGAGTGAGATGCAGGAAGAGCAGAGCAACGCAAAGAAGGGAGAGACCACACAGACTAGATGCAAGGAAGGCGTGATGTAGTCAGTAAGTACTGGTGGTGGCCTGGGAAGACGGGTGGAATTCAGACAAGTAAAGAAACAGGAATACGTTCTGTAAGAGGGACCTACATACACTAAAGCATAATTGCAGAAACTCACAGTTCATTGCATTAAGGAAATGCAACCTATTTAAAGTGGAAAGTTTATTTTTGAGCAGTGATGTGAACTGAGTATGGAAAGGCAAACTGGGACCATGCCAGCATTCAGAGTTTGGGCTTCCATACCTTCAGGCTAAAGAAAGGATGCTGTGAGTCTGGTTGTGATGCGTCCTGGGGGAGAAGGAGAAAGAAGAAGGGGGATGGTTAGGAGGCAGCTGCACTAATTTGACCCTGAAGGGACAGTCCAGAAGCATCGAAGAGAATGTATTTAAACATAGCCATGGTGATACAATGTATGATATCTCAAAATAGGAGATTAGTTAAATGCGTTAAGTAAATTCATGCAGCAGAGTTCTGTGCTGTCATGAATGACAAATCAGAGCAAAAGTCATTCATTCAACAAATATTTGTTTAGAGCCTAGTTCCTGGGGATATAACAGTTAACAAGACCGACAAAATCTTTGCTCTCATGTCACTAACATTCTACTGGAAAGAACAGGCCTTAACCACTAATAGCTATGTAACATGTTAAGTAGTGGTGAGCGCTCAGATGGAAAATAAAGCAGGGTAAAGGGGTATATAGTGGTTGCTACCGTCGACTGAAATAAATGCACAACCTAAAAGTTGAGAGTTATGTTTCATTCGGTGGACAATTCTAAGGACTCAGCCGGGATGACAGCCTCTCAGATCGCCCTGAGGGACGGCTCCGAAGAGGTAGGGGAGGAGCTAGGATATATAGAAGCTTTACAGCAAAGACCAGGTAGTTGGAACATTAAAAGATTACTTGTTAACTAAAGAAAACCAGATATCTCAAGTTTAAGAATTTAGCGCTTTTCTATGTATGAGAGGAAGCAAACATTTGGGCTCATTGAATTCACTCCTTTGACAAGCACGGAGCTATCTAGGGCCAGTATTCTGTTCTTTCTTATTCTGAGTGCCCTCAGAGTGCACCATTGTGAGTGGCTGCAGAGGCCAGGCTGCAGGCGTGTTTTCACTGAGGGGTGGTGGCAGCCGCTAATGACTTGATGGCTTCAGCATTCTTTGTTTACTGATACGGTTTGCAGTATTTTTCATTCACACTACTTTACAGAATTTCTTCACCTGTTAGAAGGTGAATGAAGTGAGTGAGTGAGCCTTGTAAAAATCTGGTGTAAGAGTTTCTAGAGAGAGGACTTAGGAAGTGCAAAGGCCCTGAGGCAAGTGCATGCTGAGCAGGCTCAAGAACCTGCAAGGCCCACTTGTGAGCTCAGTGAGGAAGGCTGGAGGTGAAAGGAGAGGAGCTGAGTTTAGACCAGGAGGCTTGCGGTCACACTGGGGCTTGTGGGCCAAGCTGAGGGCTTTGGATTTCATTCTAAATTGTACAGGAAATCTCAACATATATTGCTTTGACAAAATGCTCATGATACATTACGTAGTAAGATACAAAACACAATGTAAAATAGAATTATATTTGGTATGTATCATATACCAACAGTGATTATTTTTAATGTGAGGGTCATAGGTGATTACCAAATTATGTACTGAAGAGTTATGACTTAACAATGATTTGAGAAGTTACTTGATAAAACTTTTAGTCCATTGTTGAAAGTAGAGTTTTGTTTTCCAGCTTGTAAAAATGGAATAAATTCTTGCTTAAGTAGAATTGCAAGTCATATCCTTGCTTAAGCTTTTAAAAATTATTATTCTTGATTCTGGGTGAGGTAAAATTTTTTTT